GACGCTGGAATTTCCAAGGTCTGAATCTACCAAACGTTTCCAAAGGCGACAGAGTATTGACTAGAATCAAATTATAATTTTATCTAAAATCTACATCAGACAAACAGTATCTGACACACAGAGCCAAACTTTGTGTCATTCACATAAGCCTTTCCGATGATGTTACTATTTTTGTCATATGTGCTCAACAATTCAAAGTTCATTGAAAATATTTTCTTCATTTTGTTAAATAAGAATTTTGTGTTAAAAAAAATATTGGACATATTTTATTCTGGATTTATGGGAAATATAACTATATACCATTCAGACATTATCATTAATCTTTTGCAAAGTTAAGTTGTTTATAGGTCAGCAAGATTTTTTTCTCCATATTTTAATTAACCGCCTAAAGTAAATTAATTAACACAAATTACAGCTCCTGATTAATTCTGATGGTAAGAAACAGCAGTAAAGAGTTTTTGAGATATGTTCAAATATTGCCTCAAATTTCAATGTGCAGAAACCAAAAGGACTGAAAATTGCAGGATGGACCTTTGTTTGACCTTTGACAAAAAAGATCAGGTATTTGATATATGAAGATTAAATTTCATGTCAATCTTTATATATTTTGTGCAAATCGGAGACTGTTAGAGCAGAAGGCCTATGTTCATTTCAGGTGGAATTACTCAGTGGCTCAATTTTAGCTCAGCAATGATTCAGAGTGTATGGCTGGGTCTCTCCACAGCGTTATTTATTGAAGCAGTGTGTGGTCACCTGGACAGAGAACAGAAAAAAGTCAGCCAACATCCAAAGAGTTTTAAATATCCTTCGACAAACCCGAAGAACTATTTCTGATGGCTACTTTTAAAAATATTACCAAACAGCTTCTTGAAGATAGTTCAAGCTGTGTTGGTCCTACCAAATACTGACTTTAAACCTTGTTATAATGGTGCAAACTCTACTTTTGCCTTATGGACTGTATTTTCATGTATATTGCACAGCTCAATAACACCGCACCTATTTTAGACTAGAAAAGTTTCACACAGTACTGTATATTCAAAGTGAAAAATGTACAGAAACAGGAATAAAATGTACTACACGCTGTTGCAGTACTAGTAATGTTTTATTTGCATCCCCCCCTCCAAAGATCACTTTGAGCAGCTTTGCAGCCGACTTGTTCCTGGCACAGCTCTCCCCAAAGCAGTCCCAGCCCACTGCCTCTCCATTCTTCTGCAGCACAGCCGCAGATCACTCATACCACATACCTCCGCCGCCCTGAGGCCGGGGAGCCATCTGGCCGAGCCTACCGAGCCAAACAGATAGGTGGCAGCACATGCAGCATGCGGACGCAGCACTTGGTCCATGAGAAGCTAGAAATTGACTGGGGCTCCAGACAAGCCGAACAGAAGTGTGACAAATTGGTACAAACCGTACTGAGTGGAGAACGATGTATTTTTCCTTAAACTCTGGACAAAAAGAATCTGCCACTATCCCTTGGTTCAATGAGCAGTGCCTAACCGGTCCAGATGCTTGTCGCCCCAGGCCCTGGGATAAGTGACACCTCATTCACCTTACGATAGTCAGCACAGAACCACATAGACCCATCTTTGTTTCCCACACGAACTATGGGGCTACACAAAGCGCTGTAAGACTCTTCTAGTGGAGATATCATCTGAATTTCAGGAGCGGGACCACTCCTCCTTCACGCCCCCTCTGGCCTCAGGCTATAAAAGCCCCCCTTCTCCAATACCCACTGTTCTCATTTTCATGCGAACACTCGTCGTCATCAGACGCCTCGCAAATCCTAAGAGCTCGATTCCTACTCACCCTTCAGCTCATCACCACGAATTCCCCGTCGCTCAGCCCATTGGACCGTTTTACGATAGTTACGGGTCAGAGTATCTGTTAAGATGTTAAGAATAACAAGTATCTCTTAAAATGTTTCCAATAATGAAACATTTCAATATAATGTAGACAAAAAGGAAAAATAAAAAGATAGTTATGGATCAGGACTCCCGATCCTTACTTACATGTACAAAGTCGGACTATACAAATCGGGTCTACCCGATCTGTACCGCGCATGTGCAGGGTTTTCTTCTTCCTGTGTTCGTTTAATGGCAGTGTACTCCCCAGTGTACGAGGATACTGCCACCTGCTGATCGAGCAAATGAACCCTATTGTAAACTGAATTAGCGTCATTACAAAACGTGTGTTAAATCTGATTTAGTGATAATCGAGTGTGTTTATGCTTGTCTGTGTGGAGAGGATTGATTGGAATAGTGATGATGATGTGCGCTATCACTGTCAATTGTCAGTAAACACTTCATCTGGCTGATGAACCTACACGTGACATATTACAAAGTCTGTATTATTAACTCTGTAATTAGGCGCCATACTTCTTATTTTACGGCGCTGTTGTTCAATCGGGGAATGCTCTTTGTTGAGGAGAAAAGCATGAATTTGTTTGTATACGGATTATCCATTGTTTAAATGTCCCGGTAGTCGAAAAGGAGGCAGAGCTGTTGAGAAATGCTAGGAGCTAACTGGGCGCTAACCGTGTCATTCAAATATATTGAATGTCGCAATGTCCCCTTCAAGGCCTTCCCCAAACCGCAGCACTAATCACACTCCCTCATCCCTCATTGCTCATCGTTACCAAGGGAGTGGACCCTGCTAGTGAAATACTCCCACATCGTTAGCGCCTCAGCCAATTCTTTCTGAACAATTTGTCCTTCAGGTAACCTGTAGGGCTGTGAGTGCACTGTCACACCAGGACACATTTCAAACTGGAGCTCTATCAGAGAGGTACGGCTGGGCATGGGGAGAACATCTGCAAAATGCTGTTGCAACGCAGCAACATTCACTCGCTCAGCCTGAGTGTGATCATAATGGAGGGAAGGAGGAACTGGGCACCTCTGGCCAAACTCATCTCTCTCCCTCATCAGAGAAGTGGGTTTGGCCTCTCTCCATGTTTTGAGAAGGTTAACCCTCTCGAGGCAGGCGTTGCCGATTTGCAACAGTTAAAAACTAACAACCTGATTACCTCACATACATATTTTATGAGTTTTTTTTACTCAGAAGTACCACTGCAGGACTTGGTTGTGCATTAGCAACAAAAAGTTTAATTTGAGCCTGAGAGTGTTAAGGTGATATACCTGTGTGGCTCCTCTCCTGTCTGACCGCACCACTGCATAGTTAACACCTGTTACCCATTTACTGTGTGACCATGAAGGCTCCTTGCAACCTGCTGAGCAACTTTGAGATGAAAGAAGGGAGTAATGCAAGCACTTTGTCTCCCTCTAGCCGCTCTGCCGTACAGGTACTCCTGAAGTTCCTGAGCCTGGAGACAATTTTCTCGTGATAACTTTCCCAGTGCGTGTCTTTGCTCTCAGGTCCAGAACATACTGAATGTCCTTCTTAGCTGGGCTTGGACCTTCCTCCCAGTTTTCCTTAATCAAGCTTCTTGCCGAACAGCAGCTCAAAGAAAGAAAATCCCATGGAGGCCTGGGGCACCTCCCGCACTGCAAGCAACAAAGGTTCTAACCCGTGATCCTGATTGCTTTCATCCCCGTGAATAAACCTATGAATCATGGGCTTCAAAGTCTTATTCCGTCGCTCCACCAGCCAGTCCAGGATTCTGGGGGAAAATCCAGAATTTTAATAAGACTTTAAATTTTCCAAGATGGTTATGTTTGTTTGTCATGTTTGCATGTGTATGTATGTGTGTACCGTTCTGTCTGAAAATACAATAGCTAAAAAAGTGTTGAGCACATTTTGATAAAACGTTGTAGGGTCTAGAGTGGGGTCATGTTAAAGTTTGGGCTACATCCATCCAGGTCTTCAAGGTCAACTTAATGATTTATTGGTTGAAAATTGACAAAAAACCTCAGAACTTAGAAAGCACAATGTGAAAGAGTGCATTGTCAAAAACTACCATATTTCGAATATAAGGTAATATTATTAAGGTAATATTATGTCATATTTGACCTGTGACCTCTCCTTCAAGGTCAACAGAGTAATAGCATCAAGTGAACCACACATTTACACTCATTATACAATAAAACGAATGGTGCATGTTTCATATCCACATAAATACAAAATAATTATACTCAAAGTTCTGTCATTTATATTAACATAGATTTTAACAAGGCAAACAAAAGCCTGCACTTTACACTTCTTTTTACTGCACTATAAACTAAGGTTTAAAAAGAACAAAGAAAACAAATGGATACATACTAAATAAAATAATATTCCTTTAAAAGTAAATATCGTCCAAAGAGTGAGCTGCTTCGGTGGAGGTTCGAGTGCAATTTCAGCCCACTGGAAGACAGATTCATTTGTCAACTAAAATATTAACATTCAACATATACAGACTGGTATTCAGCCATCATAATGATCAAAACTATAAGTACAGTAAACCAGTTTTAAATGAAATAATGTGGACTGTGAATGAAAATATCGTCTATGGTTAAGTTTTAATAAAGTAAAAAAGCAGGCACTGAGACAGAATCAGATAAAAATGGATGTGAACAGATCACTAAACAGACCAATAGAAATAGAGCTGCTCTCCTAGGAGCTGGCACAGGGAAGCAGCTTGGTGCTTCACATTCCTGTCCAGCCATTCTTACCCACTACCATGTCACTCTGTAAAACGGTAAGGCAGCTGTTGGCTTCCATCAACTCAAAGTGCATCTCTGAACTTATCCAGCCCAACACCTGCCCATCCTCTCACACACAAGCTGCTGAAGCACACACATATGTGATCAAATCGGTGCACAAGCTAGATCACAACAGTCTTATGAGAACTTACATGTGAGAGAAAAGGTGAGTTGTTCTTGCTGAACTGAAGTAAAAATCACTCCATGCGATGCAGAGTGGGCATCAGTGCAAAGTTATCTTCTAGACAATGTATGCTTGGTGCAAAGTAAATGACGGCTAACTAACTGAACAGAAGAGCAACATAACGACTGAATGTCCGTGCTATTGTTCACTGATCATATACAAAACAAATTCTTTACATCTCAGCTGGATAAGGCACAAACTTTTTATTGCAGCATTTCAAAACGTGAAAATTTACTCAGCAGTCGGACTGACTGCTAAACAGGCACATACTCCAGGTTTTTATGGGCAGTCTAGATGCTAGGCCCGACACTCAAATCCACTCTGCTCCCATTGGCTCATCTCGCTGAGGGTAAAGGCCTGGTTTCCAACTAGCTACTCCCAGCTTCAGCTTTCACTGCACTCTGAAGTCACACGTCATCAACAGTCCAATCAGGCTGGACTTGGGCACCAAAGACTTTCACACAGTCCAGGGGTGGTGATGGTTTCATCTTTCTCCCTTGCCACCCCCCTCATTCCTCCATGTGTTTTTATCCTCTCCTCCACCCGGCTATTTTCAGGCCTCCGTTTTGTCTGTGTCTGCTGTTCTGTCTGCTGTCGTTTTTTAAAAAGGCCCCTCTGACTAGTCTGGATGGATCCACTGCAAGGTCACAAAAGTAGCTGTTAGAGTAAAGTCATTCAGGAGTCCGGTCACTGCTGCAGAGAACAAGTTATCAAGTTTTATATGCAATGGATGTGAACAGATCAACAAACACACTCACTCTCCAAGGACCATAAAGAGTGTAAAGTCACTCCTTTTAAAAAAATTACATTTACCTTAAAAACACACACACATATATATGTAAATACAGTATATTAGGTTAAAAACAGAAAAAAATTCTAACAAGCTTAAAGTGACTTTTACTCAATACAGACTGAACTCTCTGAAGCACCTTTTGTTCCAGTCTCTGTCAGTGGGATTCACAGTTTTATAATGTTGAGGTCCAGACTGTGGGGAGGCTGGATGATGTCACAGTACTTCTCTTTGCTCATAATTCCATTAATACTGACGAGATCAATGACATCAGTGACTTCAGCCCCAAACTGTGGCAGAGCATCCACGGTGTTTTACAGATGGCTGTCAACACCCACCCTGGGGCCTTTATCTTACCCCCTCCTACAGATTGATGATACTTTGAACCAACAATTTAAAATGTTTCATTCTGAATCGAATTTTTAGTTTTATAAATGTGAAACTGTTTTATATTTGGCATTTTACCAAATTTTTTCATAAATTCAACTAAAACATTAGAAGCAAATCATGTTTTTTTCCCTCCAACATGCTGCTGGTAGCAAAGATACATTTTAAAACTGGTTCTTTGCTAAACTGTCTTATGTGTAGACACAGCACTGGTTTATACATATGTGCCTTCCTGGGTATCTCTGGACCACTTCCAGTACAACTGCTATTTTAGATGGCTCAGAGTTCCACTGAGACCACTTTTCTGTGATCTCAAATTTGTGGAAGAAGCAAATCTTCTAATAAACTGAGCATTATCACAGGAGATTCATTCACTGCAAACAAGCTCTTGCATGCTGTTGTGTGCACATCCATGGGACCAACACAGCCTTTGCTGCCCCATCGTACTCCATTCATGTTCATCCCCGTCCCCAAACAAAGTTCAAGTTAAAGTGTTGTCATCATTGTGACGCACTGAATAATATACTGTTCACATCAGTTTCATAAGCAGACAGAAAGTGGAGTGCTCTTAAAATAGCAGCAGAACTTGATGGTTAAGGTAAATCCATCATACAATAGACTCAAATGTACTTATTTTGCTTCCTGGAGCATCGACCTGCTACCAGCAAAGCTTTGTGATGCTTGTAGTTTTTATGTCTGTCCGGCTGGTGAGACAGAAGAATTCCTTCAACTGAATGCTATAATGTGTACTTGAATTAAGGTTTCCAATTTAAGCCACAAAAGAAAAGAAACCTGTGTATAAATCAGAGGGATCCCATGTGTGCTTTACAGAATGATTCTCACAACTTTCATGTGAACAATTAATTATTTCTACCAACACCTATTAGTTTATTAAAAGCACATGACAAAGCAACACCTGGTAAAGTCTCCTTTCTTTATGAACCATTTGAAAACTACAGTTTGTTTACAAACAGTTCATGAAATTAATAATATCCAAAGCTGCCCTCACAATTCTGAATACTCTAGCTGATACTAATATAGTTTGCTCTTGTGTGTCAGAAATATAGGACTGTCAGGACGTTTTACCTCACATCTTAAATTTCTCCTTAGCTTAAACCCCAAAAGGTTGATTCTGTTCATCTGGATGTAGCGGAATCACATAATTACGCTACATCCAGATGGATTTACTTACCTGGACGACTGATCGAGACCTTCTTGGCCTAAAGTTTATAGGTCATGATTGTGGGCCAAGAAGCAAGCAAAGCAGCGTAAACAGGACTGTGTCTGAACATGACAACAGCTTTGGTCATCTGTAACTGTTAGACCAACTCTAGAACTCATTGTTTTAAAGGAACGCCACCCAGTGGGACAGTGTTCTGTTTTATGTTCTGTAAAAACGGGAGAAAAGGGCTACATCACTGTTAGTAGCTGTTTATCATCCTTTTGTAGGACAATAGTAGTAGTAACAATTTTTAAAAAAAGGACCAGTGTTGCCCTTTAAACAACCAACTAAGCTTCACTTTCCCTCAGTCTACTTAGGCACTCAGTTCCAGTTATTCACTTGGCTTTCCACAGCATCACAGTAACACTTGATGTGCAATACACTGAAACCTGAAAAAATACAATGATTAGAAAATATTACTGAATTATTAATTTCTCTCTTCCTCGTAGTCCTTTCACCAGAGGATGAGGCAAGGATGGAGTCTCCATGGATACTCCATCGTGTCCTGTGCATCCGTCAGTGTCAAACATATATTCAAACCAGGCCCAGGGGTCAGTTTTGCTAATTGGAGCACAAACGTTCCAGGCTAACTGAAAACAGAAGAATTACCACAGCAGAACTGTAGAACCGTACCATTGTGAAGGTGCAATGCAGGGATAGAACAAAAATCTGTTAACAGTCATGTCAGTGGAGTGAATACAGTTTTGAATGTAATCAGCAGCCATGTTTGACTAGGACTGATGAGCCTTTAATCCAAAAATGTGTAAAATGCAATGCAATAATTTGCAAATATTATAAAGCCATATTTTATTCACAACAGAAAATATCATGTTTACACCAACAAATTAAAAATGTGCAAGAACGTCAGACGTCATATAGCTGGAACCACATATTAAACACTTTTAGCATTGATGATGGCGTTGCCAATTCCATGAGCACTAATGCATCCCATAGCATCAGATATGCAGACTTTTGAACTGAGCACAGGTAACAAAGCAAGATGGTCCTTCTTTAGATCGTTCGTGGAAAACATGTCTGGACTAAAGAGGGACTCGTGTTCCAAAAACAAGGACCACAGTAACTCAAAGCCCCCCCACCACACTCGGATCTAATTCTGGGAACAGTTTAAAGATGTGCACCTGATGACCTGAGAGGTCTGACACTGTAGTGGAGAGGGGACAAAGCAGGGAAAAGCATTGGGACCTGTATAAAGCAATAGAAGGATTTTAAAGATAACTCATTTTTGATTACTTGTAAAATGATAATAATTAGTATGTATTAGTAAAATGTTCCTCTTTTTAGTACCACTTACAGTTTCCAGTCTTTTATTGCCACTGTCTTAACTTCTTTATAAAGTAATATTTTCTTAAAGGGGTACATTGTCTTATTGTAAACATTTGCTACTCTTTCTGTTTTCTGTTGTGAATAAATTATAGCTTTGCAGTTCACTGCACTTCGGTTTTTATATACAGTTTGTATTGAGGTTGTATTCTAAATGACCGATCTTTCCTGAGTGCACGATAAACACAACAGCAAACCAGTTTCAGTTGTGAAATACTCATACAGCTGCAAATTCTTACCCGAGCCCAGATTTGGTCAGGTGAGGAAATGGACAAAAATGATTGCTAGACCTACATTCAACAGCATCACAAGAACCACCAAGATAGAGTTAGGGCCCTGTGGAGACACACAAGAAAGCTCTTTAAGTTATTTCATTTATTTTGCAACATTATGATTACTGACGCTATCAAAATCAACAAGACAAGCAGTGGGCCCCACTGACAGCATGCAGTATGTAGTGGAAACTAGTAAAGATATCCTCTTGAATTCAGTTCAGTCAGATCAGAATACTTTATTAATCCCTCAGGAAATTGTGTGGATTACAGTTGCCCAAAGACAGTAACAGTAACAGACTAAACTATTTAAATAATACAATATGTTACAGAGTTTACCAATTTAAGAGCTGGCACAAATCGCTCAACTATAAGCATGAAGAGTATCACAGAGGTGAAATATATATGATTGACATTTAATTCTAACCTGTGAACTTTTTACTGTAGAGCGTGTGCAACAGTGTGGAACTATTGCAGTGTTTACAGCGTATTAGATGGAGGAGTTGTACAGGGCGATGGCCACAGAAAATAGTAGTTGTCCAAGACAGCTGCCTAGTTCAGAGTTCCCACTTTCTTCTTCTGCAGAAGGTCTTTGGTAACATTTGTTTGTCATCTTCTTATAATCCTTTTGTTGCTTCACCTTTTGCTCTTGTAGAGACTCATATCACCCTGTGTGTGTGTGTGTGTGTGTGTGTGTGTGTGTGTGTGTGTGTGTGTCGTTCTTTTCTTTTTTGCTCGT